GAGGAGGATGATTAAAGAACATTCGGTCGGCTTTCCACGACTTAGCCGTCCAATTCGGGCTAACGGGTCACAGAAGACGGTGTGCTATTGTTACACGCAGTCACTTAAGTGAGCCTTTCCGGTTATTTAGATGTGTGTGTGTGTGTGAAAATTCATCAAGAATATGGATGTGAATGAATGACCAAAACCAACAAGCCGATAAAGCATATGACCACGATAGAGTACCAATCTGCATCCCTCATGCTTCTGATTAAAGCAGGAGAGAGTTCTGTGCATGTTCATACCTTGAATATTCAGTAAACTAATCAAGACTGTGTGACAAGAAACGAGGGGCATACAGGACATGAAATGAGGACTAAAAGCGGCTGGTCAGTTTTGATCTCTGAGCACGAACAAGTTCACATGAATGATGGGAGTTAACAATAGTCCTCAATTTTACCAAAGCCCAAAACATTGAATGCAAAACTCGAGATTTGATGACCACTACTTACCAGACGTTTTTGGAGAACCGGCTGAGGAAACCGCCTGATTGGACAGGGAAGAAGCATAATGATAAAATGGGGAAAAATTGTATCAAAGAGAACGTTTTGAATGAATGAGAAAAGAAAGGAAATGCACAAGTGCTGGGTTTACTCATTAGACGATTCTTATTGGATGGGATATCATTCTCTTGCAGAAGATCGATCGAGCTGCTACAGTAAATGTTCCACTGTCAGATAAGAATAAATTGCAGTCTCGTTCCCGTGCAAGCCATGACAACCTTCGGTGAACTGCGAGCCATATTAAAGCCGGGGAGAAAATAACCTCACCGTTTTCGAATTAACGTGAGAATATTATTATAGACACTTACAAAGATTCTCAATGAATTGGATTAGAAAGAATGTAGCGGTGGTAGGAGAGGCAGGAACTTGAATGACTTTGCATACCGAGAAGTTTGCACACAAATTCGAGCCTACCGAAGAGGTTTAGAACCCAGTCAGCAAACACTAACACGGACTACCAGCTGGTGCAAAAAATGAGACTGGTAGACGAGTACGCGAATAACCGCCCAACGGGATGCGTCACATTTAGTGAAATAACAAGCTTTTGAGCTGGTGTTCCAAAGTTCAAGAGAGAATACACAATGGATCAGAGAAAGCACAGTTGCAGTGCACCACAAAAACATCCATACCACTCCATCATCATCAGTTCTTCTAAAGCACAAGCGCACGCACGCACGCAACACACACACCAGCGAGTGGGGTGCCTCATTACAGCAACAGTAAAACTCTCAGTCCAGATAGAAAGACAAACTGGACCGCATTAACAAAGATCAGAAGAATTAATGAAACGCGCCGCAAAAAAACACGATAGGCATATCAAACTGTTGGATAAAATAGAGACGAATATTGTCATTAAGACGAACAATCATTCTCTCACACAAAAAACAGGATGATTCGTTAGGAGTGCGATCACCTTTCACTAACATACATAGGTGACTGAATGTGGTACTACTTTGCAGATATCCAAGACAGACCACGTCACTAAGAAGGAATTCCTTACAAATGAAATGAGGATGAAAAACAAGATGAAAGCGTCGAACGTGAACCAATTCGTGATCAACAGTCCAGAACAAAGTGCAACTTAGTGCTCAAATTCCCAGTGATTTATTTGTTCAACATTGGCATTGTCTTTACCGTAAGTGAACTTCAATAAAAGAAAACTTCAGTTACATGGAACTGGCTTCCATAGTGGGAAAGTCAGATATTCAACAACATAAAAAAATTACAAAAGGTGTACGGTGATACACACAAATAATTTTGGTTATTCCAGATATCTTCCATTTTCCCGTGTTTAACTATTTCATCCCCCTTTTCACTCTGTTCTGTACTCCAATCCACCTGTCCCCTTTCATTGTTTTTGTAATTATTGTTGTTGCGTTGGCACCATGCTTGTCTACAAGCCGGTGGTAAATATATATATATATATATACATATATATCACGAATAAACAACCATCTTATCGATGCAAGCATAAAATCACCACATCCAATTCGTTGTTCTTATAAATATACAATAAAAACTACTGTTCACAGTGTGCTTTTCAGTGACCATGTGATACACATCCAATCGAATTAATCAAAATGGTCCCGTTGACACCTTGTTCATTACATAAGCTAGAGAGATATTGCATCGCGGGGTACAATGCACATTAGCAGTATCAAAAAGCATAAAATTCGTGTAATTGCAAGTGAATAACAGTTACACAACGCATGAATACCCCCATCCACCCCCCACCCCCGCACCCCTTACTCTTATCGGCTCCAAGCGAAAGCGAGTAGGGGAAGGTGATAGACGTCATAAACGATATGTACATGTATAATCAAATTGCAATTCAAACCGTCTCTGAGAGTGCCATTTTGTCTGGCAAATAACATTTCTTGAAGTGAAGATACCGCACACAACAAGGCTTATGCAAAACGGTACCAGCGATCTAAGAAAAGGAACTTGTACGTGTGGAATGACAGGTCTATCAGATCACAATTTACTACAGCGGAGGAATGTCAACAAGCTATGCGTTCCGGTTATTAGACCATTAAACAAGATATCAGACATTAAAACCTAATCTTCGATCAGAGCATAGTCATTTGATCGGGTTACGTTAGACATTGACCTGATAATAAGGCTTGTACAGTCCCACCAAAACGTAACACATTGGATGTAAGCATTTAAGCGTCTAGCACTTTCGTCGTTCACATTTTCATTTGGTGCCCTGGTCATCTATCCATCAACCATCAGTGACATCTGCGTGTGTTCGCGGACGTGAGCTCGAGAAAAAAAAACGAAATTCCCGGAGAAAACACTCACCGTCACACCGGGGAGAGCGGAGCAGGCTGGCGCGTTGAATGATCCATTGATAGGGACATTGTTGTTGGGTTTTGGGGAACTAGTCGGGTACAGACACAGCGAGAAAAGAAGAGGCGGATAAAGATTGCAAAATCAAATCGCTGTAGCGACGTTATTTATACGGGAAACTAAAAACATGCATGATATCACAGTGGTGGACCAAACACTTTATTGTTTTCCATTTTGTCACTCAGTATATAAAGCAGGCTTGTTTCAACCACATGGCTAGAGAACATATGAAAAATCAGAATGTGGGTTTCCACGCTGTTTTCAAACAGATATGGATTAAGAAAAAATTAGGACCGGATGACCCCATTCCTAGTGTGAAAACTCAAGTAAAGAATAATCGATGCGATCCGTGACTATGTTTCGTAACAATTTAGAACCGAAACATAAACACGTTTGTAAAAGTGGAATTTCCTGATCGATAAACAGTGCACTGTGTCCCGTTGAAGGAAGCGGTGGTAGCAATTACACAATATTCGCCCACTGCTTACTTATTCAGTTTAACCAAGGTCAGGACAATGAGACACGACAGAATTGTGAAAACTGATTGAAGCATTTTCATATTCCAATAGAACGCAAGAGAGATTTTTGGATGAGAAGCACGTTTTTGCGGTTGACAGATACCATAAAATGTACTGCTTCATTTTGACATTACCGTTAGTGCTTCATGAATGCCACGATGATTCGAAGAAACAATTGACAAGTAACGTATATTAGCTCATACAAACCAAATGCAGGAGTTAGATAAAAAAACAAGATGAGAACCGATAACTCCGTGGTTGTTCGCTCACCTTGATTCTGCAGCGATATTATTATTCACGTTGGATAGCAGAGAGTGTAGAGCATCTGGAGACTGGAGATTACCAACTTGGGTGTAATCACCATCATCTCGGGCCTCGGCTCCATTCTGTTGCACTTGCAAATAGGTTTGCAACCGCTGACGAGCTTCATTTAATTCAAATTCCACATGACGACATTGCAAGCACAGGCGTTCAATCGCTTCGTCTGCGGCTGCTTCTTGGGCAGTCAACTGCTCAAGTGGAGGGATAGAAAGCAAATAATGGAAGTCACGTTTACTGCTAATCTCCAACACCGAAACGTTTTCGGACACACCGAATTCCAATCTGGTTGCACTGAATTAACAGTTGTGAAAAAAGCATTCTACAAAACACTACGTATAGTCTGTACGGAGGACAACCTCGTTGGGTTAAACAATAGCGATCATATTTCCTGGTCATAAATCATATTAGCAGCCAAACAAGCTAAACTGTACAATGAGATAAAACGAAAACTCAAGACTTGTCTTTGAATTTTATTGTTTGGATTCGACCACGTCGAAAAGGTTTGATTGGAACTGAAACATGCTTCACGTTGAGCACATGGCATTATACACAGGTCTCGGTTGTGCGAATGATTTTTTTTTTAACGTCACAAGAAAAAAATCATAAAATAACCGTGGAGAGAACTCCTAGCTCAATTTAATGTTACGTGGTTTGTGAATCTACGCAATAGGAGGTCTTTAGTTGAGAACCAGAAATCAGAAACGAACCACATCATTGTGACCATAGATTTCACATTCGAAACGCGAGGTGTAGGCAAACATGTGTTTTCTTTCTGAGTTCACTTTCGGGCGTGCATATTCATATAATACACCGGTTCGTCTCGAATCGAGTAGCACTAGTATATATGAATACACAGGCTCAAACATAAATTGATCAAAAACGCAGGTTCGCCAACACCTGGCCTTTTGCTTGAAACCATGGGTTTATTCGGTAATCCTAGGAGTTTATATCTTCAGCCATGTGGACTTGTAGATCAATTTGTGTTTGTATGGTGTAGAAGTATCACGTTCCCATTGCACAAATATGACGAATTCTCAGTATAGAAGGGATGAAGAAAGGAATGTGGAAAACGCACCCGCTGTTCCAAAACACGCATTTGCGACTGGAGCTTCGACAATTGTGTATGACAATCGTACAAATCACTGGCAAGTAACCAAGTGATGCCATCTGCCAAAGCCGGGGTTGCGGCGGAACAGGACGCGGACGAGGACGGTTCTGAATTCGTGTTAGATGTGCTGGTCACCTGAGTCGGAGTGGTTAAAGAATTTTCCTCGGATGGATTAGTCGAACCACCGGTGGATTTCGATCGATTCGCAGCAGACTGAATGAGTTGCGCTATCGCATCTTGGCGCCGTTTAGTCGAGGCTGCCGTGGCCGTGCCTTTAA